GTGGATGGAACTGGAGGGTGTTATGCTGAGTGAAATAAGTCAATCAGAGAAAGACATGTATCGTGTTCTTCTTCTCTTGTGTACTGCCTGTTTATTATTTAACGTACCATGTTTATTTACTGTGTGTTTATTATTATTACCCCAGGAAACTGTAACCTCCCCTCTGGCTCAGGAAGCATTTGCAGGATTCTCACAGCTCCCTGACATTAGTCTACCTTATTTCTGCCTGCTTTTCCAACAGACAGACTGAAGTTTTTTTTTTTTTAAAGATTTTATTTATTTATTTGAGAGAGAGAATGAGAGAGAGAGACCGCATGAGAGGGGGTTGGGTCAGAGGGAGAAGCAGACTCCCTGCTGAGCAGGGAGCCCGATGCGGGACTCGATCCCAGGAGTCCGAGATCATGACCTGAGCCGAAGGCAGTCGCTTAACCGACTGAGCCACCCAGGCGCCCAGACAGACTGAAGTTTGCAGGGGCCATAGGCACCTACTCCAGGTCACTCAGAGCCAACTACAGCCTAAATCTGTGGATCTCCCAGGTGGGGCTGGCTGCCACCTCAGGTGGGGCTGGTGCCACCTCAAGCGGCCCCATATTGCACGGAGAGGGTCAGCACAGTTCCCTCCCGCCTTCCAATACCAGAAGACAGTCTTCCCTCCAAGGAAATGCAGAGCATTATCGTTACCATCACAAAACCCGCGCGTCTCTCACACACCGCTGGCGCGCGCTGTCTCCTCCCTCCCTGGAACCCGCCACGCCCAGAGACAGCCACCGCCCCGCAGCCCGGCCGCGCTCCCCTGTGCGCAGGCGCACGCCGCTCACTTCCGCTCGGGGCGGGGCTAGCGCGCGGGGGCCGGTCCCCGCAGCGGGTGCGGGTAGTGGCGCCCCTCCCCCCTACCGTCCGCATGGAATCGGGGGGTCGCCGCGGCCTGGTCTCGGCGGGGGGGCCGGTCTCGGCGACCCCGATGCTAAGGCAGGATTCGGGGACCGGGGCTGAGGCGCGGGTTCGCGGCCCCGGTGCCGTCAGAGCCCGCCGCTTCCTGCTCTGTCTTTACCTGGTGGGCTTCTTGGTGAGTGCTGGGGCTGGGGGCGAAGGGCGACTGCGCCCTGGACCTGGAACCCGATTAGTGGTGGGTTTTTTTTCTTTTGAAGACGGGGTGGTCGTAAGGCTCACTCAGGGCTGGGAACCTGCGATCTGCCTGGTGGTGCCTTCTTACCTTTCAAGCTTCTTTTTGCCCCCAAACCCCTTCCACTCTGCACCAGGCCACATTGCTTTATTGCCCGTCGCGGGGCCCAATCCGCAGCTCCTCTACTCCTGCCCTTTAAGGCGCCCCCAGCACCAGCCTTTAGTGTGATTAAGCCGGGCTCAGGGGTGACCCCAGGTGTTAGATGCTGTGAAAGGTACAGAGCACGCAGGGTGGACAGCAGGGCTCCTGGGCAAGTTTGGGAAAGCCCAGCTGTTCAGACATCAGTAGGTGTGGTATGAATACACAAGCCTTCGTGCCAGGCCCGGTCGGGGCAGTCACTGTTGATGACCCCACGTGGGCAGAATTAGGCACATTTTCATTAAGGTTCCTGGTAGACTGGAATGTTTAAAAATGCAAACCACAGTGAATTATACACATCTGCCTTTCAACAAACTGTTTATTGGATAAGGCAGGTTTGGTTTTTTCATGATGTGTGTGTGTGTCCTGGTTTAATGAGGACAGTTATTATCAATTTCCCACGTAGAATGGAAAGCTTAGAAAGATGAGTGTATGAGAGGGGAAGTCATCCGTACCTCCGTCCATTTATTATTCATAGAATTTCTGAAAACCTTTTATGTGGTCGCGACTGTAGAGCTCCAGTTACACAGTCCCTGCCAGGAACAACCTGAAATCTTACAGAAAGCTTGTGTTGGTAGTTCGTGGGCCATTGTCCGCAGGAACCCTAGATCCAACGCCTTACTCCTCTCCTTCCAAGTCTAGCCCTGGTTTAGTTGCCCTGGTTGTGAGCTGGTCCAGATTAGGAAGAGAAAAGACAAGGACAGAGAGGATTTCTTTTTTGCTGAGACTTGAGACTGTATTTGAGGACAAAAGGAACTGGTCAGGTGAAGTGTCACTGGGCGAAGACGGCCTTCGGAGGCTTTGAATAGTCCCCAAAGGCACTCGGTCCTGGCAAAGAGGAATTACTGTTTTCTGCCCGGATGCAGGTTAAGACCACTACTCCCCAGTATGTTAGCCTCACTAGAGTTTGGATACTGAGCCATGCTCAGCTAGGAGAGGAGTAGGGAGGCAGCCACCCTATTCCCCTCCGCAATGCAATATTCATCAGTCTGTAAAGGTTTAATGTTGACTGAATAGTTAAGAGAATGAGGAAAGCATCTTCCACATCGCTGAAAACACACCACCAGGAGGCACTCAGGAGGGCTGTGGTTTACACAGAATCTCTGCCTGCAGTTAACCTTATCTACCCTGCCCCCCGGCTCATGCTTTCAGTTCAGAGCCGAGCCTTCCTTAATCTTAGATCAGCCTCAGGGTGCAGTTACCTCTTCCACCTTCCATTTCAGCCACCCCCAATTCAAAACTATTGATGGTGAGTGGTCCTTGACATTCCGTAAGGGAGTTGGCTGCCATCCACCCTCTGGTCAGAGCTGGGGATTGACTCTTGGCTATTGCAGCCCTCCCTCAGACAGTACTAATATCTGGTCCTGCCAGATGAAAAGAATTTGGGCCCTCACCTGGAAAGTCCGGATCGGGAGTTCGGAGAAACCAACATGACCTAAAATTCCAAATAGTTTGAATGTTTTAAATGAATTCACAGATCATACGTTATAGTTGGCCTTCCAGTACAGGTTTGAATATTCAGAGCTTCTCCTGTGTTGTCTACGCGCTGTTCACACAGCGAGTCTAATTTAGGCAAGCCTGATGTAAAATTTTAAATAATTTATTCAAAAGAGTCATTAGTTCTCTAATATGTTCAGGGGAAAATGTAAGATTTCCCAAAAGTTAAAAGAGAGTAGGGATTTTTTTAAATGGAAAATGTTGTAAGCAATAAAAATATGTGCAACTTTGGATATCCTTGAAGATCTAAAGGCTCTTTGGTAGGTAACATCCAAGGAATATTATACATAACTTAGTTATTACTTTTAATATATTTAGAGATGTAAAGACCTCTAAGACTTTTGGGGAAATGGTTTCAGATTAATAAGAGAGGAAGGGAACAGGATTAAAGAAGTCATTTGCCAAAGTGTTCTGTTTTTAGTTCTCATTTGGGCTTCCAGGTTTTAATTTGTTTAAGAAGGAAGATGAAGATGGCCCTCTAGGCCGCTTTTGGTTAGCATTGAAAGACGGTGCTAAGATCTGTGATTTCAATACCCTCTTTCCTCCAGATACACAGTGAGATTCGTATTTTATTTCATCGGCTGTAGTCAGGTCTTTTATTCATTCTTACTGAGGCAATTTGCTAATCAAGAAATATTTAGGTTCCTACCCTGAAAAAGATCTTGATACGTGTTAGTGTATTCACCAGTTTTTGTTGAGAGATGTAGATGTTCCATGAAAGGTTTAAATGGTCCCCTCTTGCCTGATTTCCTTATAAATGGTTATTAAGCACATGACCAGTTGCCCCAGAGTGCATTCAAAGCCAGTGGTTTTGAAGAAACTGCGGATTCACAGGAAGAGAGGAGTTGCCTTTTCTAGTAAAGGGGAAGACAATTTCAGTGCACAACTTCCTGAAAGACAGTTTTAGAGCACCAGCATCCTTGGAAATAGATAATATTTTTCAGGCTCACAAAAACGTTAAAATAATACTGATCATCAGTTACTACTTATGAATCTGTTTTTGTATAACCTGCCATAAATTTCAGCCTACTTAATTATTTCTCTCCCATTCTTTATTTGAATGTTAAATGACAAGTGGTACTGGGAATTTTTTGGAAAAAAAATATTTTTGGACAATTGAGTTTCCTTTTCTGAAAGATTCAGAAAATTCAATAGGTAACTGATGTATTTGGGGTCTTTTAAGTGATATCATACATCAGCAGGCTGATGAAACAAAGCTGACAGCAAAGCCCAAAAGACGTTGGGCTTAGACCCAAAAGAAATTTTAAGTAGTCTTAAAATCAAAATAATAAACTGTAGTTCTGGTAGTATAAATTTATGAGCTATTTAAGAACACTAGATAATAAATATATGGCCATCTAAAGATGTAACCATGGAAAAGGGCCACTGAAAAGTACGTTTAGAGGTTCATGTTTCTAAAATTAGGTGAATGCACAGCCACCAGGATAAGGGATAAGCAAAAGATTAATTGTGGGCCCAAAGAAATATATTTTTCATGCATTTCTTTCTATTTAACCAGGATTATAAGAAAAGGAATTCCAGTTGAATATAAAGAAAACCGTGTGTGTGCAATGTGGTTTCCTTCCTCTAAACCAGTTGTTGAAAGTACCCAAGTGAAGTAGGAATGAGAACGAAATTTAAAGGAAAAATTAACAGTCTTTCTGTTAACTCAGAATACCTAGCAAAAAGGGTCAATTCTTATCCCCAGGACAGAAGAAAAGAGAAAATACGTTTGAACTTCTGTTGTGTGTTAGACCTTTCTCAACCATTACGCCTCTTAATGTACATCATGTGTCTACCAGACAGGTGTTATTATCCCCATTTTTTGCAGATGACAGCACTGATGCTTGGTGACATTAAATAACTTTCTAAGCACGCATGCTTAGTAAGGAACAGAGCTGGAACTTAGAACTGTCTGTCTAACCCCAAATCCCATGCACTTTCATTGACTTAGCTGCAGAACACTGTCTTTCCCCACTACCCCATCCTTCTCTCCTTGCTTTGCTGAGACTTTCTTTTTTTTTTGTTTTGTTTTGTTTTTTTTTGTTTTTTTTTTTTTTTTTTTTTTTTTTGCTGAGACTTTCTTTTCAGATATTATATTTAAGGCTATAAGCCACAGATTAGTCGCCTTCCCTAATTCTAGGAGGAAATTCATATATGAAGCAAGTGCTTTGCAAAGAAATATGCATTCTCCCTGCCTTCTTCCCCACTTCATCACACACAAACATTTTTTTGGTTTTTTATTTGAATAACTTCTATAGCACATCCTCCTTGAGTATTAAGGATCAATCACAAAGAAGCTAAGGCTGAAATGATTCCGGGTCATGGTGATCAGGCATTTACAGGGAGCAACGGTTATAACACATTCTATTTTGATTCTTTGATAATTTGAACCTGATGGGCATAGCATACTGTAGAATACAATTATGATTTCTTGTTGGCTCAAAATTTAGATACTGGTTTTATTTTTTTAATCAGTTTGTTATTAGGATTACCACTTTTAAGAACACCTAAGTGTCAGTTTCTAATTTGAGTTAATCAGTGTTTTGTTGTTTAGGATTTGTTTGGTGTCAGCATGGTCATCCCTCTATTGAGCCTTCATGTCAAGTCTCTTGGAGCAAGTCCAACAGTTGCTGGAATAGTAGGTGAGTGGTTAATATCGTACATTCTCAGAGCACTGAATTTTCAATCCTCTGGACTAAACCTAAAAACAAATCAGTCTTATAGCTAAATATTATACAAAGGTAAATTGAAAGTGGGATAAAAGGAATTTTTAGAATACTTAAAAATGTTACCCTGGGGGCGCCTGGGTGACTCAGTCGTTAAGCGTCTGCCTTCGGCTCAGGTCATGATCCCAGGGTCCTGGGATCGCGCCCCACTTCGGGATCCCTGCTCGGCGGGAAGCC